AATTCCTTTGTAGACAATGAATACAGCCGAATTTTTCTGTTTATTATTCTTTTTTATATTTATATCTTGTCCTTGTCGCAAGGAGCTGAAAACGATTAAAATGACTGATCAGTAGGGTGCTGCACTGTGGTGTTTGTTTCCCTTTAGCCGCTACGGTAGCAATGAAGGCCTGTTGTAAACCTTGAAACGGTCCGTTGACGAGGCTCTACTGGATTTTTACTAAATAATGACAGTGGTAATAACTACCAAGAAGGTTGGGAAGCGGCTGCCACTGTTCTGCCGGTCGAAAAATGAGCTGTTCTCCTTCGTAAAAGGAAACGGCGGTGTCTAATTCACAAGCTGGCACCTGCACGCCTTGGAGCAACCTAGTTGCTCAATGTCGGTCTATGCCTCCATTGTTCCATGGAGAGAAAACCAATCAAAACAAATATAAACTCAACCTACTGCATCAGGATTTCCGCCCCTGATTCGTCAACGCGATGATTCGAGGGCATTCTTCTGATTGGCACCACCGGTTCCCTATCCACTACGCGCGTATGTTAAAAATATTCACTTCAAACGTATCTCAGGAATCTTTTCCACGATAAAACTGCTTATGGTATTCGGTTGATGCTGAGTGATGTGCAGCAGCGGGATCATTCCTAGTCATAAGGCTATCTCAGCACTAACATAATACCATCGCAGATTTTACCTTGAAGAAGGCCCATGAACGTTATTCATGTCGTGCATCAAATTTTTGTCTTGAGCTTCAATAATTTGCTTCTACGTTGTATTTCAGGATCCTCTTCCATGTGTTATTGAAGTGAAAGTTAAATGCGAACACTGTTCTAATGTCTATTCATCGATTTTAAAGTCGTTTTAGGAAAATGATAGCACGGAAAACTATTTATGAATTTTTTAGGTTCGCTTAACTTGGTACAGTACGCGTCCTTATGAAATTTAGCAAAACGTGTTTTCCATCCTTCTATCTTATCCTATCTGTTTTCTTTAATTTGTAACAATTTCCGGTCTTTGTTTTTGCGTGGGTCTTCCTCCGGCCGAATACAAAGCCTGTATGTGAATTTAAGATTCTGAGTTTTTTACCATCCACCGCAGTTCTACGTCTAGCAATTATTACTCATTCTGACATCAACAAAACGAATGCCTCTGAAATGACTAATTAAAAATTCAGAAATAACGAGAAAAACCGCATATTTGACTTTCATCTGTAACAGAAATAAAAAATGCCAAAATTCATGTGTAATGCTTACTCATCAGTTTCTTGAGGTTGCAGCTTGGAGATAACTTGTTTTGGACGGCCATCGTCAGCTAACTTTAGCAAATACTTGCGGCTGAATTTAATATTAACATTTCGCGTCAGGTCTCTCTGACTCCATAGAGAATCAATCTGAAAAAATACATTACAGTTAGTAAAGAACAGCATTCTAAAAAAACATAAAAAGTTAATCAACAGCTAATCTATGAACGTTCTTTTCCAAAGAATGCTTCGTTAGTCTGTGAGCAAAAGAATATCGAGAAAAAAAAATGACAGAGACCAAACTCAACTTTAAATAACCTTATAACTTTCAACTTTGCATACAAAAAATAAACCCGGTATTATGCAGGTATATTAGCAAGCTGCTATTTTCAATACCGCCGTTATGAGTAAAAATCTTTTGACAAGAAAATGTTATTCTTCTGCATAAATGCCTACGGACTCAGGTATATTCGTTGGTGCTCGGATATTTTTTTCTTTTTGCCATTCGATACGTGATGCTGTTTTGAGCCCATGTACTGCATGTGTAAAATACGAGGGAACCATGGAACCACGACCTGTTTAAATGACCCATGGGCTACTAGAAGCAAGGAGACGGCGCTTTACGAAGGTGCAAATCCAGAGAAATGACAGAAGTCTTTCGGCCTGAGCTTTAACCTATACGTCATTCATAAAAAGATTTTTTAAGGTTATATACAGTGATGAATGAATTAGCTACCACTGAATTAATCTAAAGTTCTTGGGAGATCACCCCAAAGCACCATGCAATCGTTACCGATTCACAGGTTATCGCCTGTTATACTTTTGTAGCTGGTGACAGAGAAACGTGCGGTATATTTCTTATTCAAGGACTTATGTTCTTCGTTATTCTCATCATTCTCGTTATATGCTGGCAATGAATGCAAGTCGACGTTCCTCTGACATTCTCTCTTTTCCGTATTTTGTTTCCACCTCTGATAGTAACTTGCTTACCGGATCATCCCAGTACGTTCTTGGACGATAGACTCGATGTTATTGGCCACCGGAACCCAGTGGTAATTCTTCACGTCATGTCCAATCGCTTGTCTCTCAGTCCGTTGTAGAATTTGTGATTCAGAACGTAGTCCCGGAGGGCACTATACATATTTGCCCAGTCGTTTTCTGCGTGAACATAAATTTGTTTTCCTCAAATTTAGAAGAAGATCAGCATTCAGCGCCGTAGATCATGGCGGGTAAAATGGTTGCATTGAAAACTTCTTTATTCGCCCATATGGGCAGCTCACTATACAGTAATGATGTTTTAACACGATTAAAGATTAATCATGCCGCTTCCTTCTTCGGTTGATTTACCTGTTTAGCGAGTTCATGCTATTCACGTGATAGCCGAGGCATACATAGATGGCGATATATTTGACTTCTTTATCATTTGCGTAGACAGAACACTATGGTAGTGCTCATTCTATGTCCATTTCGTCTTGAAGCTATCAAACTCCAGCCTGATAGTGAGATATTCTTCTTGCAACTACTGGATTTTCTATCAGCACTTCGTCGTACGAAGATGATGCAATCGTCCGCAAACAACAAACTCGCTGGCTGTACCTCATTAATACTGACGGCGTGGCACCACTTCAGCCAGATGAAGAGTGAAGAGAAATTCGCAGCGAAGAACGCTGTTAAGATCTTCTCTCTTTTGGCGCACTCCTCGACGCATACTGATGCCATATAGTTCGCTTAAGAGCATGATGTCAGTTGCGCAATGCTCAAAGATAAACATTTAAAGACTTGGTTAGAAAAATGACATTGTTCCCGCATCGGCACCTTTAGCACATAAGGTCGAACGACTTTTTGCTTGCTACTGCTCTCCCCTCCAGGAATAATTTCTGCACTGGAACTTGTATAACTTCGATGACGCTTCGAGCGTAGAAAATATATCAGATACTATAAAGTTACTTTAAGATGAAGGGCTGAACTCAGTGGTTAGAGACACGAAGCAGATAAAAACAGAAGCCTATCATAAAATCTATTACGATTATCTATTACAAAAATTTCCTGCCTACAGCCTTTCAGTTATAAAACTCACTGAAATAGATGTTAAACGCATTACTTTATCACAGTTTTGTACTTCAGCATCGTATCAACAAAGAACCGCTATAAGTACTGTTATGAGTTGCTCTTGGTGCATTATTTTGTATTCGGTACCCCATTCACGCTGTTGTGGTGACGAGATTAACTGTCTCGTACCTTTAAAACCGTTCATTACGTTAATACTACGATAACAATAACTTTCAAAAGATTGTTTGGAGGAAGAAAGAGGTAGACCATGACTTGTAGTCAATTCAACTACTGAGATAGCCGTGATGACATGGGATGATAGATGCTGTCAGATCGTTTACGGCAAATATGTCTTGGGTTACGAGTATTGGACCATACACTAGTTTCAGACAAAAGTACAGAAAAGTCACTTTATGACGCAGATAGCCGTCTGCTCAGGTGTCACAAAAACCTCAAATAAGGGTCCAAACGTTATTGAACGAATGACAGCTAGAAACGGGTGAAAAACGATTGTATAACTACGAGCCTTCGATCACATACCAGAGGATATGAAAAGTATACTAAACTCTGTGAAGAGAAAGAGATATATATGTATATTGAGCCACAGATTTAAATTTCTAGCACCTATAGCTTTCTATTTCACAGCAAAAAACCGATGACTACTCACCGTTAATAGTGACGCGTCGTGTTCACTGACTGTTATTCGTCCACCGATTAGATTCGGTACCGAAGATAACTTTTTATACACTTCCAAATATTTTGACATTTAACGATCGGAATGAAATGTAAAATGTCTGAAACAAAACCGATTATTAGAGAAACCATATCAGGAGATGCCATACATAAGAGAAATAACTTCTTATAAGAAATAACTCATACTCATACCGTGCTGGGAACCATTTT